GCAAAAATACCTATTTATAATGCAAAAAAACTTATTTATAACACAAAAAACTTATTTATAAGACAAAAGAAGCTTTTGTTAGCTGTGAGGCTTCATCACACCTGCAGCTGCCACCTGCAGCATGGACTGACCAAACTCTATGGCTCCACCTGCAGCAAAGACCAGCTTGAAGGTAGCACTGCCCTCCCAGCCCCCTGAGACGGAGAGCACACCATCAGAGTGTGTTTCACTGCTCACTCACTGACACACACACACAGACACACACTACCTCCAGGCTCTGCACTGACAGTGCCCTTGATGTAGTTGGCTCCCAGAACAGGCTGCTTGATGTCACAGCTCTTCATCAGGTAGAAGGGCATCATGAAGGACTGCAGAGCATCCTGTCCTTTAGCCACGAAGATCACCTACAACAACAACACAACGTTACACTAACAGCAGCATGGCTGAGGACTACACTGTAACTTGTTGGCACACATTGTGTGTTTCTGACACTTCTTTTTTGTCACATACGTATCATGTGAAGCCCTCTGAAGAAGAAACGGTCAGTTTTCATGCTTGTGTGTAATGTAGGAGAACCTGATCAGTCTGGTTGAACCTGTACTGGTCCTCTGCTTCACTCTAACTGGAACATCACCCCTCTGGAAGGGAAAGAAACTGGAGCTTGTGTGTGAGGTGGACAGGTATCAGCACACACTGTGGCTTGTAGGTCCAGTTTCCTTCAGAGTGTCTGGACCTTGTTCCACTCTGGAGCGGTCCACAGACCTGTGTGGGTCTACTCATAGCACCTGGCTTGTTGTGTGTTTGGTGGGGTTTTCCAGGTAAAACAGAAGTTAACTTCCTTCAGTGTTCTGGTGACAGGATGACTTGTAACTGTTTGTGTCTACAGGTGAAAGGAAACTCACAGAACACCTCCTCACAGTCCTTAGCAGGGAGCTACAAGGACACGTAGCTGTGGACTCCTGGTGGACTTCAAAGTCCATGAGGGCAGAGCCAGAGAAACCTGAGAGACGTGACCTGAACCCAAGCAGAGTTCTGTTGTTGGACCTTAATGTTSGTCACAGTTTGACTTTAACAAGTGTGTGTAAGACGTGGTCCTGTTGGCACCGTGGTGCTGTGGTCTCCAGCTCTCACTGGACTGGTTACCAGTAACATAAAAACATGGATTTAAAACACAAGCCTGAGTTCTGCACAGGAAACCAACAGCCTATATACCACAGACATCCAGTCCAGCACTTGGTGCCACTCCCAACACTTCCAGTTCACGGTCAACGCAGTGTTAGAGAAATATTTTTTCACCCGACAACGACTCTTAATGATGTCCACAGTACAGAATTATCATATTACATGTACCAACATTAACACAGGAGACGTACAGGTCCAGACAAGTGGAAAAAAATCACTCCAAAGTGGATTAAAG